TTTAGACGCCCAAAATCCTGATTCGACAACTGCATGGACTTTGTATAGCTCAGTTGGTTAGCGCTGCACCGGAGTCGCAGGCTCGATTCCTGCCTGAGGGTCTAAAGTTTCATTTTTCTAGATATGAATAAATTTTAACTCCAAATATCCATCTTGTTCATATATATACAGTATGTTCCGTGTATCAATAAAATATACGACCCAAAAACGGAGTTTTGAAGAATGTTGCTGATACACAATTAACTTGTAATCCGACCTTAAAAACAGTCGCAATATTTTGGCTAAAACACGTCGTTATTTTTAGCATTTGTTTTTTGGACACCTAAGCTTGTCGGTGTACCATATCCACCTTTTGGGGGGAACGATCACGTGTGCTGATTGGGATATAGAGTCACGATCGCGAGAATTGGATATTGTAATTGCTGGGGCCCTATCAGTCTCGCTGGGCACAAGCGCTTATTCGGTCTGTCTTTGAAAATGGTGAAAGTCACGAGAGAGTTTTAAAGAAGCTGTGCATGTACACTGTTTAGCGTAGTTTCAAACAGATTAGGGGCATATATACGCTCAATTCCATCCGAATTGCATTCACATCCCAACGATTCGACATTCTGGATAGCAACATGGCTGAATTAGGGACTGCTTATACATTTGTGTCGGGATGGCCCTATTAAACTGGATACCCGGCGTCATACTAATTTCTATTACTTCATAGGAGATATATATCAGAAAACCTCAAAGACAAATTGTCCCTCCAAAACTATTAGATCCAATATTTTGACGGTTTCTTCATCTGGAAGTACATCAGCCGTCATGACAACACATTCTTGTATATCAATGCTTATGCCGTGCCTACCATATGTGTACCATCTGAAAGGGACTCAGATTAAAAGAAATTTCAAATGTAACCATCTTACGCGTGTTTACTCAATGAGATATGCCAGAAAACGAATCGTACACGATAAATCGCAGCGTGTGAACGTAGCGTAAGCAAGATAGATAAAAAAGGTAAATGAAGCCTAGTCGCCACATGCACAAGACTCCGTTTGGTTTCCAGTGACCGAGCTGCCTTAATCTCAGTTCCACCCATGTCCTTCGCGAATTGGAAAGCGCTACTTGGGCATGAAAAGTCTAGATGAAAGTGATTACCACAAGTTCCTAAAGAAGATACCCAATTTAGTGATGAAAGCTACAGTATGAAGTCGAATTACCATTGAAAGAGGAACATGAAATATTACCTGATAATTACTAAGCTCAGCTAGTAAACCGACTGGATGCACAATGGGGGACTTCGGTGGCGCAGTCGATCGTCAGAGCAAGCACCTTTCACCTCTGAGTTCGTGAGTTCGATTCTCACTACGGACTCGGGCGAAAAGAGTCGGCCAACGCTGTGCAAAAAGCCGTGGGTTCTTTCCCGGGCGCGCCGGTTTCCCCCCACAGGGAAAGCTGACAGGATGGGTTAGGACCAGGGTTGGTTAGTTAGATGAATAATTAGGCCAAATCGTCATTAGTGCCGTTTAGAAAACAAAGAAAACAAAAGGCCAAGACAAAGAAAACAAAGGCCTAGTGTGATGGTGTTTGGCCTAATTATTCAGCAAACCTACCAACTCTGGTTAGGACAAACACAGTTAAGGAAGTAATATCATAATTGTTGCAAAAACAAAATAATCTAAGCTAAGTATCTAATACCCGATGTAAACCACATTGATCGTATCCACACGCAAATTTGCGCCATAGAAATGCTACTAGTCGTAACCAATTAGCCGGCGCCGGCACGCCGCCATTTTTGGGTGGTTTTCAGCCGAAGTCTGCGAAATAAGTCCACATAACAGCGACCTTTTATAATGTTTTGGACGAATAATGGTAAATTTGCTTTAGATGCCACCCAAAATGGCGGATATTCGTCATCGTGAGAAAGGCTAATTAAGACGACTCGAGAAGAAACCATGCAAACGCGCTATAGTCTGTTAGAAGAATGTGATCGAGTCATTAATCAAACAACCAAAGACGGGAGTGATAGAGTTGAAGAATCAACCCAAAAACCGCTTGGAAATGTACATTACCGGCCGTGGACTATCCTTGAATGACTGTCTTTACGTTGGCCTTTGTTGTTACCTCTACTATTCGACATCCTCCTCCGGTTTCGACTGCACAGGATCGCAGTGCTATTTCTGAGGAAAGTGATATACCAATTTTTGACAATTTGCTCCTGTACTTTTTGGAGTAGCATCCAGCCCCTTTCTTTTGAATGCAACAAGACAGAAGAACATTAGCACATCCAAGAGTACGGACCCAAGAATCATAGTAAACCTACTGCAATTCCTCCACGTACTGTGATCTCAAATCAGGAGCCGACAGCACATCGGAAGCACTGCACCTGTACTCAAGGACGAACTGTTCCGAGTTAGCAAAAATTGTAAGAGAAACAGAGAATCAAGCACCCAAAATGCAACCACCTCTAATGGCTGTTTTCCACTTCAATCGTACCGTACCGAAACGTAGCGTATTTTTTTGTTTCCTGAGCACTAGAGTGGAACTATTAATGCTTCGACACAAAAGAAAATGCTACGATACGGTTGAAGTGGAAAACGGGCTTTAGTCAGATGGAAATACTATATCCTGCGCAAAACAAGTTCTTGGCTCCCTATCTGATGACGAAAAGGTTCTTGGAATATAACGTGGAACAACATAGACTTGTCCACAAGCCGATCTCGAATAGCGAGCGGTGAGCGGCGAAGCCGCGAGCAACAGCACCGCTGATACTCTTATCCTTCGCCTTGACAAAATGGTGAACTGCGAAGCAGATCTGCAACATCGATCCGGCAAAGCGTTAACGATCAGACATGCACTAATGATAAACAATTTACTCAATCTTTTAATCCGGGCTTCTTTCTTCTTTTATGTGAGCTAGACAATCTTTATCAAATTCTAATGCTTTCTTTGTATGAGAAAATTTGAGAAGTAGCCTTGACATTCTTATCCGATGGGACTGATCTCACGTGTTGTTCTTATGATATTATGTCTTTATTTTCCAAGAAGCGTGCACGTGTAAGACCGAGTTATAGATTGGGGCATGTTGTTATCAGAGAAACTCGATGGGAAATATGGAGAATGTCTATACGTGTCAAGAAATCACCATTCCAAGATGCGCCATACCTGAAAACAAGGAATCTATCCAGTTAATTCATATAGAGCTTCATGGCTTCGGAGACAGTTCAAAATATGTCTATGATGCTGTGGTTTATTTACGAGTTGTGTCTGAGAAAAGGTTCACCTGAATACGATTACCTCCAAGAGCAAGTAGCACACTTAACCGAACAAACCATTCCTCGATTAGAACTTTTGTCAGCTTTGGCAAGAGTTGTTCATTCCTATAGCGTTTGCGAATGTGTTGAAGATAACCTCAGTTTACTGCTGGTTATACTCGATCTTAGCTTTAAGTTGGATTAAGGGAACTTCTAAAGAATTCGAACAGTTGGTCCAAAATCGTGTAGTAGAAATTCGTAAACTGGTGTCTGTAAAAGATTGGAGATTCTGTCCGGGAAACCACAACCCAGTTACCCAGCTGATATAGTAGGGAGCTTTTGCAGCGACTACGAGTACGAGATTTGAGTCGCAGACATTCTCGTTTCCGTTTTATAGCGGTAAAAAGACGAGAAAATTTTTCTTTAACTAAATGTCATGTAGGTTAAAATCCCCTGCAAGATTATAGCCCCTTCTATGAGGAACAACACACAAATAAAGTGCAAATAAGTCATGAATAAGCCAGATATTTAGCATTATTAATAGATTATTTGCCGGATAAACACTTTATTTTTGCAGAAAAGAAAAAAACCCAACTTTCTTTGTTTTTTAACAAGTCGTCGTGAGGACTACGAGATTTCTCCAAAATTTCGTACTCAGATGAGAAGTTAAATCCAAACCAACAAGTGGTAACAAAGGTTCCTAATTAGCCAGGTTTCCATGTCGTCGTTACTGTCGTAACAATTGAACCATGCAGGATCATTCTCAACAGCTGAAATACAACAGTTTAGAACTTGAAATAGGTAGAGCGACTATAAATGGAGAATACTTATGATTTATAGGTGGTACCGCTTTACAAGCAAAAAACTATTATACTCTGGCCGTTGAGAAAGATCGTGACTATCTTTACGATATGGTTTTAAGGTCATTTTCCACTTGAATCATATCGTACCATAGCATTTCTTTTGTGTCGCAGTTATTAGTTCCACTGTAGTCCGGCCTGCTTGTCACGGAATTATTATAATTATGCGTGGAATAATTACGTGGATTAGAATAATTATCTAGAGACGTTTTCCTCCCGCTTAAAAACAAGTTAGGTCTTTGGCTTTGCATGTTTTGTCTTTGTAAGTACTTTTAACAAGCTATTATTACATAAATTTACAAGACACTGCTAACAAAACGAAGAAATACGCCACGCTTTGGTTGGAGAGGAGTACGGCATTATATAGTCTATATAATAGAATGAAATCAGGCGGCATTCACTTCTTAACTCATGGTACTATATTGTCAATTGTTACCGGTAAATTGTATACTCTAATCAATATACCAGTACCGAATCTGATAATTGCCATTTCAAATCCACATGCATAATTTGATAAAATGTGTCATCAGTCAATACTTTTTAAGAATATGTTTTTGGAAATGTAAGAGTATTAAATTATAGGTATATGTTGCAGCTTCTAACCACCCTTAGAGAGAGCGTCATGCTTTGCTCTTCAGTCAAAGTACAAATATTAGGTTTATAAGAACCAGACTATTTATCAGCCTATAGTGTTGTTACTTCATTGCCTGGTGATTCTCAATCCAATGGTTCTTGTATAGTATGTGGGTTTTTAAGGTATGTATATATCATCGAGAAAACCATACAGGCACGCTTTATAAATCAAAAGAACAAATTCTTTATTTTCAAAACGCACGAAGTATTCCAATAACAAGTGAAACTCTTCGTAACTAAATAAAATCACTATATTAGAAACAGTCTATTGCGCTGCAAGTTCCTCAGCCAGTCTATCAGCTTTCTGTATGACATCATCAATATCACCAACCATATAGAATGCGGCTTCTGGAAGATGATCGTATTTACCTGAGGAAAACAAATGGACGTTTAGAGTAAATCATATATGTTTACCGTAATTCTTGCAGTAAATTTTATAGTAGAGAGGTTCAGATTGACATCCACTGCCGTTACCACTGCCTCTCCATGGCTTAGTGCCCATCTGATTGGTTAATCGGATATATCAAACTCATCTGATTGGTTAATGGTTCCTTAATGGTACTAAGTGGTAGTATAGAAGTCAAATCTGAACCTCTCTAATATGAAACGCCTCACGAAAGTGAAAACCAAATACACCTATACAGTATACGGCATACAATTTATTTCAAAACTGTAAACTTACCCTCTAAAATTTGTTTGAAGCTTTCAATAGTTTTCTGAAAAGAAAATAATAGTAAATGAATGCTTACAATACTGACGAATTTTATATATAATTGGGAGGAATATAATATACAATATTAATCGGTATTTTTTCGGTAACAAAACCATTGTTGCAAAAATGTTTGAACTATTCAATACTGATTGTTAATCTCACCTCGATTGGAACAAGCTTGCCGATATGTCCAGTGAAAACCTCGGCAACTTGGAATGGTTGCGACAAGAATTTCTCAATTTTTCTCGCTCTTGAAACCGTGAGCTTATCGTCTTCAGATAACTCATCCATACCCAGAATGGCGATGATATCTTGCAGTGATTTGTAGTCCTGAAATTTAGAAATGTCATTATGTCATAAATTAATATAGTCTAGGACCTGTATAGATGTTTGTATGCATTTCATTTAGCACAGGTAATCTCAACTGTTTTAGGGTAAAATGACCATGGCGGTCAACATG